TGCATTAAAACTGGTATTCATCTACTAGTTCATGACAGTCGGCACCAATAAGAGAAGGCAGAATCCATACCTGAGAGGGCAGTGGGAAGGGACATCTGAACTCTTTGGGTGTTCCCTGTCTCCGAAATCTAGTTAGAAAATCAGGTGATGGTACAGATGTACTAGGTCAAATGTCAAGTTGACTGAGAGGTCAATCCAAACACTCCACCATGGGCCCAAGCAGTAATTTATGGAGACATCACTGACAATCTTAGAACTGTAATCTTCTGAACGCTTGTCGGCTAGCTCAACATACCAAATGCTATTCTTGCCATATTAAGGCAGTCCAAAATAGCATCTTCACAGCAAATCATCCACTCCAGCTACTGACTACATCAGCACAGTGCCATGACACACGTATACTACCAAAAGGCAAGGGCCAGCAGTAAAATGGAGCAAGGTCAGAGAAAGTCCCTCTATGATGGCATCCACTCACATAGCAAACACTGCTTCACATTACAGCCACGGGTGGAAAAGCCACCCACAGAGAGAATGTTTTCAGCAGCATCAGCATGTTGAGAGTAATGCACTGACCAGCTTTAACTCCCACTGAACTCAGTAGGACTTGCTTCCCAGAAACCATTTATCTGTTTTAGAACATTTGTATTCTGCTGGCAGAGGCAGGACATTCGGGGCAGCTACGCATCTGAATGTAACTAGAATAAAACCAGCAGCGTACAATCAACAGAATTAAAATTTGCATAGGATAACTGGGGAAAGTAGCATGGTAAATTGGCTTCTGGCCCACTGCGGAGCAGTCTGACAACAGCTCCGTTACCTCCTCATTCAGTCTGGGCTAACAAATGTTATGCATCTCGCAACAGTTGGAACATATGCCTAAGAAGCGGTTGTGTGGATTAGCCAAATCAAAAAGCAAACCAGAAGAGGAAGCTAAGAGTACGGGAAAGTTGCCTGCAGGAAAACAACAAGAAGAACTTTTTGTTATCTATTTGTACCATGGAAAAACAACAACAAAACACTGTTTTTCCATCCGCTTTTAAAAAGCACACAATTGAAAAAGTCACGTACGTGTTCCTTAGAATATCTATTTTCAAGTGTTTGATTTTAAATAGCCGCCTTCGCATCATGGGGTGTGACATTCTCAAAAAGGCTCATTCTAATTAATACATGCAACACTGACACACTCTGCTTTACTTGCTCAAACGTCTGCCTTCTTAAACACACAAAAGACAAATCATTTTGCTGTACACAGCTTTTTAAGAGCTGCTTGCAATGGCAAGAAAGCATCTGGAAAACAGCCTTGAATGCCAATAAAACCCACTAACAGACTGCTCTGTGCTATGGTAGGCAGAGTGCCAACTGCAGAAGAATACCGCTAGCTGGAATTGTAAAGGGAGGAGAAAAAGTTAATAAAAGGATCACAGTATGGCATCCAGCACAGGGTTGGCCATAATCAATAGATCTATGAAGCAGCTCCACTGGTTGGAGCTCACATGGAAAAAGAACAAAATACGATGTGCTAACCATGAAGCTGACTTTCATTATGTCTTGGATTCCTCCTAGTCCAAGGGGAAACCTATCGACTACGATTTCTGGAAGTGGTTTTAATTAAGGAGAATTAGAAAACGAAACTTTGACAGGGATTAAAACATACCGTTCGGTTTTAAGAGGAACGCTCAATGATATAAAACTGAAAATAAAATAAAATCCTCCTGTTTTCAAATGCAGGCCGTGTAAGAACCAGTTTATTTACTGAATTGATTTTATGCTGCGACCCTTGAGCAAAGTCAGAACCTTAATGCATTTTTTTTCGAAAGAGGAAGCAGATAAATTGAACATTAATATATTTAATACAAAAGTATTGGGACAGGGGGAGGAAAATGGCAACAGGCTAACCAAATGGATTATGGAAGGGTATTCCAGTACAGATTGCGGATGCCCAAGGAGCTTTTGCTAAAGGTTTGGGAACAAGCTGTAGCATGTTGTAAACAGTGATCATCTGTAGGATGACAAACTGGGATTCTGTGCTTTCTTGATACCTTAACCAATACATTTATATCCCACCTTTATACTGCTGTAAATAAATCATACTAGTAGACAAAAATATAAAGAATTGGTACTCCAAACCCCCAAAACAATAGAAAGCACATCAATCATAAAGTATTAAAGAAGAGCAGGACCAAAAAAACCCCAAAACCAACCAAAAAACAATAAAACAGCACAGTGTTAAAAACAAAAGCATTAGAATAAGCAACAAGAAGACCAATCAATGCACGAAACCCTTCAAAACAGAAACTGTTTTAAGAAGATATAGAAGAATGAGAAGCAAGGTCATCAGAAGAACCTCCTGAGGAAAAAATTAAATAAGAAGGGTTTTCAGCTAAAGATCAGGAAGTGCTTCCTGACTGTTAGAGCAGTTCCTCAGTGGAACAGGCTTCCTCGGGAGGTGGTGGTCTCTCCTCTTTTGGAGGTTTTCAAACAGAGGCTAGATGGCCATCTGACAACAATGCTGATTCTGTGAACTTAGGCAGTTCATGGGAGGGAGGGCAGGAAGGGTCGTATCAGTGCTTAGTTCTTGTGGCCCTTTCTTATACATCCAGGGAAATGCTGATCACCACTTTGGGGTCAGGAAGCAATTTCCCCCCCAGACCAATTTGGCCAGAAATCCTGGAGGGTTTTTGTTATCTTCTGGGCATGGAACAGCAGTCACTGGGGGTGGGGAGGTATTTGTGAGTTTCCTGCATTGTGCAGGGGGTTGGACTAGATGACCCTGGAGATCCCTGCCAGCTCTATGATTCTGTGATTCTAAGATCACTCCATGGTTTAGGTAAAATGGCTGGAAAGAAGCAAAGGACCTGTGAATTCCCAAAGACCTTGCATGGACATCTCTTTCCAAAAAGCAATTCCATTGCTTGTGTTTCCCCCATATAACTGTTCTAGAAATCTGAAAATGTATGACACAGCATGATATTCATCCTTCTCATGGGTTTCATCTTGAGGAATACAACAGAATTACTCAGTAATTGCTTGAGGACGTTATAATTCAGTACATGAAGCCAGATCAAGTAAACCATTTGAGGTTAGCTAACACAATGCAGCTTTTACCCCACATTAAGCCAAATCTCTTGCATCTACGGCCCTGTTCATACGAGCCCATTTGGGCCGGGAGCGGGACGGAACTGGGGCGGAGCAAACAGGCACGATCTCACCTCAACATCTGGGGAGCGTGCCGTCTCCGTCCCTGATCCGTCCCAACAGCCCATACTGCGCCGTAAAAAAGAACCACCTCTCTAGGTGGTTGCATCCATTGGTACGGCTCAGGCCGGGCTGTGGGATCGGCGGCGCGTCCCCCCCCTCCGGCCCCCCGGCCGTACTGCGCATGCCCAAGCATGCGCAGTTTGGCAGCCTCCCCCCTCCCCTCGGACTTTTCCTCCCCGGCATCTGATCGTGCCGGGGAGCGATGCGCCGCGGCTAGGAGATCCGTGGGATCCCGCTGCGGCGTCTCAAGTTTGGAGCGGCTCTGAGTAGCCGCGTTTCAGCCGGCCCGTGAGCCAGGGGCCTACATGAGGCAAAAGTATGGCCACTATGATTGCATGTATGTATATTATACTTTTTAAAAATTATACATGCTGGGAGGGGGAGGAGGAGGAGAAGACGAAGAAGAAGATGATGGTATTGGATTTATATCCTACCCTTCACTTGGAGTCTCAGAGCGGCTTACAATCTGCTTCCCTTCCTCTCCTCACAACAGATACCCTGTGAAGTAGGTGGGGCTGAGAGGGCTCTGAGAGAACTGTGACTGACCCAAGGTCACCCAACAGCTGCATGTGGAGGAGTGGGGAATCAAATCCGTTTCTCCAGCTTAGAGCCCGCTGCTCTTAACCACTACACCGGATTTCCCAGAACTTGGTCAGTCTGCTGAGAGAACATTTCTACACTTGTTCCTGGCCTTGAAGTCAAAGACACAGTAGCCCTGAACACATAATCCTTCCAGTCAATGTTCAGAAAGCAACATCGCTTGTCATGGGATGGAGGGGGTACACACACATACTTCCTCCATACCCAGACACACCACTGATGCACGGGGACACGGCCAACACACCACTTCCTGCTCCCCCTCTCCACACATTGACTAGGGGTCACTTCAGCTTTTCCATGGTATTTACATCTCTCCCATCAGCAGAAGACAAGTACAATACCATTTTAGGACAGGGGAATATCTGATCAAATAAATAGATGAATAAATAAGTGGCAATTGGTGCCTCCCTTTTCCTGCTTCAGTAATGGTGGTCTAAACTCCTCTCATGTATGGCCCACAGATTCCCCTGGGCTCATGGCAGATTTTTCAAGATAGCCGCCATCTTATAACAAGGAATTTGGTGACGGTGTGCTCTAAACTTTGAAGCAACTGTGACCATGAAAAGAAGATGCTCATTATACATATGTGGCAGCGCCTGAACTTAAAAGTCACTATGGTTACTCAGTTTTTGCATCTCTTATGCTAACCATGCAGAGACATGCACATAGCCCCCTGGGTTGGTAAGAGCATTAAAAAAAGCTTCAGTTGGTTATGAAGGACTCACTGATTTTTCCATTCAGTTATCTGAATTTCCCCGTGGAATGCAGCATTTAGCAAGAAAAGCTGGTTACGGCCCTGGTTCACAATATGAAAATATGGAAAAAAGAAAAGCAATTACTCTTCTTCTGCTTCAGATTAAGAGCTTTACTACAGGGCATTTAGTTATGCTGAGAGAGAGTTGCTAATTAGCCTGCAAATGTTAGTAGACCTCAAAAAATTATACCAGTCTGTCTACCATATAAGCTATCTGTGGTTAAAAAAAAATAAATCACCGAATCAAACCCACCAAACCCAATTTTTGTGTCATTTCCAAAATAATCCCTGCCTCCTCACCTGGAGGAGAATCTTACATTCCACAGTCAACCGAACAAGCGGCTGTTTACAAGCCTGAATGGAAGATCCAAGACAGAACCGCACCAACCTTATTGTTGAGGATAGCTTCTGAGTCATCGAAGACAAAGTCCCCGTCATAGCTGTTAGCAAAGCAGATGATGGAAAGAAGTCCCACAACTGCTTTAGCCCAGTTTGATGGCAGAGGCCATAGTGGGATGTCATGGTCCAGGTTATCTTCTGTCTGTGCCATTCTGTACAACGCTTGTCCAAAATTTGGAATGCCAACATTATGCTGGTTGCAAATCTGAAAGAAATACAATGCACATTTTACAGCTAACTCAAATGAAGTCAGCAGGAGCCTATGGCAAGTTTTGCTAACTCATGTGTCTACACGGACAGTTACTAGTCAACTGTGGGACGTTGAAGGCCTAAGAGGGGGTAGGGAGGTAAAAGAACCAACCTGTCCCTGATGTAACGTCCCTCTTTGGCTGTGGGTTTCCAGGTCAGAGTACTCGCTCAGGCACCCATTCTCAGGTCCATTCAGCAGAGACAAGCTGGCTCAAAATATCAACCGTTTATTTGCAAGGGGACAACTCCCCCGACCAACAACTACAGCCAGGGGTCATTTCCTGCAGGAGCGCACAGGAGCAGAGCTCTGGCAGTAAAGAGCCCAGGGGGTGGGCACATGCAACAAGCCCCACCCCCTGCTCCCAGCAGCCCTCAGTCAGAGCAAGAAGCAGCCAGGTAAGTTGCAGAGGCCCCCCCCCAGCCCAAAACAGTCCAGTGGCACCTTTAAGACCAAGTTTTATTCAGGTACAAGCTCTCCCTCCTCTGCGAGGACAGATCTGCACGTTCCCTCCCCCCAATAGCTAGCAATCCAAAAGAGTCCAGTGGAGCCTGAGCGGTGGCCATTGCCTTCTGACACACTTCCGGTGATGTCAGGGGGTGTGGCATATGCAAATAAGTTATGCTAATGAGTTATGCTAATGAGCTCCTGCACCTCTTTTTCTACGAAATGGTCCCTGACTACAGCTAACATACAAAACTGGAAACTTAAACAAGAGCTCCACCCAATAGGACCAAACTAAATCATACACATATTGGGGGGGAGCAGACTGTTCCATTACATATACGTACTCACCCGATGCACAAACTTTCTCTGCCAAGTATAAGCATGGAGTGTAATTTCCCTCACCACTTGGCAACTTACTGTGCAGTTGCACACCTTCTGTGGTAAAGTCATTCTTGGTTAAAGGACTGAGTATCCATCCAGAATTCTGTGAATTCAGGACTCAAACTGTGTAATCCTAAACTGAGCTGCACCCTTCTACAACCATTGGAGTAAACAGGCTTAGAAGAGTGAAAATCTGCACAGAGCACAGTCTCAAATCAGAACAGCCCAAGAACAATATAAAATTCTCATGTTCTTACAATCCACTCAGTCTTGTCCTTCTTTACCCCGTCTCAACTACGTCCATGCACTCAACCATACATTTATTTATTTATAGGACAATCTGAATGCTGCCCTTCCGCCCCATGACTCTCAGGGCAGTTTACAACATACTGAAATTATATATCAATTGCCTTTCTTTCTTTTCTTTTCGCTGTCAAGTCGCAGCTGACTTATGGCGACCCCTCGGGGTTTTCAAGGCAAGAGATGTTTAGAGGCGGTTTGCCATTGCCTGCCTCTCCGTCACAGCCTCAGTATTCCTTGTTGGTCTCCCAACAGAGCTGACCCTGCTTAGCTTCCAAAATCTGATGAGATCAGGCTATCCGGGGCTATCCAGGACAGAGCCTTATATAGCTATAACAGAATGCACTAAAATATCAGATTGCAACAAAATGCAAAAAAGAAAAGAAAAGAGAAATACCAAAACCACAACTTCATCCCCAAACTACTCAACAGTTCTTCGTTAAAATCAAATGAATACCTATTAAAACAACTCACAATCACAGAAACATGAAACAGCTCTGGGTTGGGAAATTCCTGGAGATTTTGTGGGTGGAGCCTGGGGAGGGCAGGGCTTGGTGAGGGGAGGGACCTCAGAGAGGTATAATGCCAGAGAGTCCACCTTCCAAAGCAGCCATTTTATCCAGGGGAACTGTTCTCTGCTAGCTGGAGATCAGTTGTAATTCAGGGAGATTTCCAGGCCCTGCCTGGAGGTTGGCAACCCTACAGGGAACTCTTACAAACAAAAGACACTTCAGTGCAGGGAGGTTACCATAACAAGGAGGAATTACGTTAAATAGCCCCCCTTGGCCAGTGGGACTAAGCTCTTTGCAACTGAAAAAGGGAGGAGGCAATTTGGCCCAATTTCCCCTCTCACTGCACGACAGTCCTCCCCAAACCTCAACACAGTCTTTTTGGGGTGTGTACAGGGTGCTACGGGGGGGGGGGGATAGCAAGAGGGAACTGCTCCGCTAACTCCTTCCACAAGTTTTTCCATAAGATCCAGCCAGGTGAGGCAATCTACCTTAAATCCAGAGGAGAAGAGATTGGATTCATACCCTGCCCTTTGCTCGGAGTCTCAGAGCAGCTTACAAACTCCTTTCCCTTCCCTTCCTCACAACAGTCACCCTGTGAGGTAGGTGGGGCTGAGAGAGCTCTTGACAGAAACTGCTCTTTTTCAAGAACAGCTCTGACAGAACTATGACTTGCCCTAGGTCATCCAGCAGCTGCAAGTGGAGGAGTGGGGAATCAAACCAGTTTCTCCCAGATTAGAGTCTGCGCACTTAACGACTACAGCAAACGGGCTCTCACACTGTTCTCTCTCTCTGTGTCTGCTCTCTGGGACTTTAGGATACCCATGCTTCTCTTCTGACCTCCTGAAAGCAAAGCCAGAAGCCAACTGTGCACACAGATGCAGACCAATGCATCTAGTTATTAGTTTGTTATAGTTATTATTGGTTTAACTGGATCAAATGTATCATACTTATAAACCAGGACTATGCCACTCTGTGACAAAGACTATCTATTGTAAATGGAAGGTGTCCCTAGGATCCGAGATTATATGTTCTTGTTCATATATTCAGCTGCTGCTAATTAATCTGCTGACCATGTTAGCAGATTAATGTTAGCTCACTCGAGTCCTTATGTACTTGTCAACTGCTCATACGGGGTTCAATCAGAATGCACGAGCCAAAGGTCACATAAGGCGCAGCCCTAATGTAAGGAGCAGTGTCCACTGAAGCTTTCTGCATCTCAAAACGCCTTAAAAAATTGCACACCTGTCACGAATGGAAGACTATTTTTGCTGTCAATTGTACCAGTCGGGGAAAGTTTCTTTGTACAGTCAGGAGCTCCATTATCCCATTAATTCGCTGCTTAAGTCTGGGTTTTTCATGAGCGTGTAATGTACAGATACAGACAGCAGACTCAGCTTCTCTGATATGATGTATCGTTGAATTAATCCTGGCTACAGAATTTCTTACCCTCTGGCCTGATTATCAGCTTGTGCCAAGTTTCCATTGTAAAGTGCTACGCCCCAGTCCCTAGTCCCATTCCAAGCCCAAATCCCACAACATCTTGCATTTATACTACCTCCCCCAGCAAAGTCTTAACTAGAATTTTGGATTCCACATTCACTACAGAGCCTGATATCTTGAGCGTTCTGCCCCTTACAAATATTTTATGGGATCTGCTTATCATGTATCACTCTTCTCTTCCCTAAACTAGGTTTGAAATTAATCCACTCTTTTGCCTTGTCTACCAACAGTTGGGAACAGTGTTCCCTCTAAGCTGAGTTAGTGTGAGCTAGCTCACAGATTTTTCGCCTCAGGTTCACAAATTTTTGTCTTAGCTCAGGAAGGATGGCTCCAGAGCAAACAAACTTATGCAGTAGCCAAATCACTTGCTCACAGTTTTAATGCCAGAAGCTCACATTTTTTTGCTCACAAAATTCCACACCTAAGAGGGAGCATTGGTTGGGAGCAGACTGATAACATTTTTGATGGGATTTTTTCCTCAAAACTTGGTCTTTCTTTATGACACTGCCTCACACCACCACCACTGTTTGCAGCTTTTACTATAAATGTATCTGCCTAATAAATGTATACTTCATGTACCTGATGAAGTGAGGTCTCATTTATGAAAGTCTATGTGGGGATAAATGCTGTCGGTCTATAAGGTAACACTTGATGGTTTTATTAAGTTGTATTTCTTTATGTCTTACACTTTGATCATGGGGCCTAGAATTTTCAGAATTTAAAATGAGGGGGAGGGTAGAATTCACTGGGTACCCCCCTCCCTGACTTTCAGGCTGGACACATAAGATGCAAGATTTTAAAAAAATATATGTGAGGCAAAATAAGGGTTTTGCATACCAAAAGGGAAATGTCAATCATCATAAGGCTTATATAAGGATCCCAGGCCCTACCTATTCAGAGCAATGGCACTGCTGGAAACACTAACCGGACTAGATGCTCTGCACAGGTATTAATTCAGTCCAGGACTGAGCCCGCGTTACTATAGCAATGTCCCCTATAAAAGTGCCCATAAAATATACATGAAGTGACATGCAACAGCTAACAGAAACCTTCCAATTATTACACTAACATCCCAGTCCCCTGACAGCTTCAAACCAACCTAGCATTTTCTTCCCCCAAATTGGTGAAAATATAAAAGGGAGGTTTTTGTTTTTTAAAGTATCTGGAATAGCTTTAAAAGCTCAGCCTGTTTAGGTTTTAATTCTTCTTTCTTAAATTTTTTTTTTGGGGGGGGAGGAGAAATCTCTTCCTAAAAGGGTAACATACATATTTGCATGTGCCTACCACTAACCCTCCTTCACTGGGGGACTTAGAGAAGTTCTGCAGAACGGGTTCTCTCACAGACACACCCCCTTTGTCAATTCCTTTACAGAAACGGCAGTACACACAACACCTATGCAAGAATCCTACATGCATCGTGGTCCGATGCCATTGACTCAGAAGTAATTCCCAAAGAGGTCTATGGGGCTTTTTCCCACGCAAGCATGCATCGTACCGCAGCCTGTCTTGTTCAGGGTTTTTTTTTTTAATATTTTGCTTTATGTATTTATTTTGCAGAACACAGGTCACGCATTCTGTTAGGGACAACTCCTAAAAGATTATTTAAATATTCTCTTCCCCCCCCCCCACCACCACACGGGAAGAAAAACGGAAGGCCATTTTAAGGATTTCGCCACCCCGGGAAGTGGCGGGGTGTCAAAACCATTCATCAACTCGACTCAACATTCGGCCATAATGCAACACGCGTTCGTTTATTGTCTTTCGCGCAGC